TTTTAGACCACTCAATCTTTAAGTCCATGACATGACACGTGGATTTCACTGCAGATATTTGATAAATAATAATTAGTAAATGAGAATATTGACACAGTTTAAAGTAATAATATGTTATAAGGGGGAAACTATTATTTTGGGTGATGTAAGAGCCAAATGAAAAAGGAAAAAGACACAGAAAGAGGTAACTTGAGAGAACAAGAGCTCAAAGCAAAAGAAAAATAATAAAGAACATCAAAACATGCACATCTCAAGGCATGAGAGCTGCTCCCTCTCCACAATGTGCCTTTCATGTTCAGGCACTGTGACAGAGGAGCAGTGAAAACACAAAAGCCCTTCTGCTTAAAGGTCTGGCATCCAACAGATTGGGAGAGAGCACTTCCTCAAATCACCACACCTCATTAAAGGCTTTCCAKCCAAAAGGAACGAGGAAAAATTATGGCTAATGCAGGGAGAAAGTGGGGAAAATGCTACGACCCCAGTAGAAACAGCAGCACGCTAAGCAGTGATTTGGCTTTTGATCAGGAACAGACACCAGTGAAAAAACCTGAATGGGTCCATCAGGYCCCCAAATACCAAAAAAATCCCCGTCCCACGTGGACTGCACTGGTTTTGTATCAACACCTCTGTGTTTCACTGTTCACTGGATTCTGCCATGGGGTGCTCAAATAATTACCCAGCCCTACTTTGCTGCATGTCCTACATGAAAGTAGAGTGTCCYCTCCATCAGATTTATTCTGTAGAGCTGTAACACGGTAGCATTTGGGGATAATCAACCAAAAAATGGTTGGAAGCAAGTGAACCTTGCACAGCATCKTCTCTTATCTGCAAAGAGGGGAGGAAAAAAGCCAAGAGCCCTCGCTGGGCAGCTGATCTCAGCAGAGAACACTGGAGATTTAGCTGCAAATCTCAGTAATGACAAGAAAAAAAGATAACCCAAAGATTTCATCTTCCTATGAGGAACTCTGTGGGACAGGAACTGATATCTCAGAGCACCACTGATGAGCCACTGCCCCTGGAGAAGGTCATCAGCCATAAATAAAGAGCCCCTAACACTGAAAAAACAATGAACTGGGGGAAACCAAAACCAATTCTTCTAATACACTGGGATAATTACAGAAAAAAATCCAAAAGAAACAGAAGCTGACATCTGTTTTTGGGATGGGACAGAATTCAGTTTGTTCTTACTGGTCCAGTGCCATGTTTTGACCTTAGGATGAGACTGCTGCTGATAACACGGGGATGAATCAGTTGTTGCTAAGCAGAGCTTAGTCTGAGCCAAGGACTTTGCAGTTTCCCATGCACAGGTGCCCGGAATGCCAGCAGGGAGCAGAGCCAGGACAGCCAAAGGGATATTCCAGACCATGGAATGTCACACCCAGTATACAAACTGGGAGCAGCTTAAATAATGGCATCAGTGGCATCAGTCACTGGGTGCTGAGCAACTCTACTGGGCATCACTTGTTTCTCTTGGCTTTAATACCTCTCTCTCTCTTTCCTTTTCATTACATTTACTATTAGTCTGATATTTATTTTAGATATATTTTGTTTTGCTTCAATAATTGAACTGTTCCTAATTCCTAAACTTTACTTTTTCCCTGACTGCCCTTCCCAGGACAGTGGGGGAGTGAACAAGTGGCTATCGTGGTGTTTGGTTGGGATACAACCAGCACAAACTCCAGCAAAATAAAACTTCCTGTTTAATGAAGTACAACGTCACTTCCACTCTGGTCACCCCAAAGTTCCTGGCACCWCCTTACCAGTAAAGGAGAGAAGGAGAATTATTTCCTTCCCTCCCTCTGCTCAGAGCAACCTCCTGGGAGCAGTTTTAGGATAGTTCTAAGGACTTTCTGGTTGCCATTTCTGCTCTTGCAACATCCCGTGGGACCGGGATCCTTGCTGCTGGAAGGGATGATTGATCAGGGATGGTGGCTCAGGGAGATGAGCACACMAGGAAATCCAAGAGACTTCCACCCAAGAGATCCATGATTCACTGCCAAGCACTGAGCAGAATAAAAGGAGTCACTACAACCAYGCTCACTTTTAAGTCTCTTGGCAAAGATTCTTCCTACAAACATCAGTCGCACCACAACACCACATCAGAGGCTGCTCACGCTAACAAGAACAGACTCATTAGCTGATATTCTTCAAAAGGATTGACACCAAGGGGCAATCTCACTGCAAAATGTCCTATATTGCTGCCCTGCCCTAATAAATCCATAAAATGATTGCTCTGCTAAGAGCCCAAGACATTTCTCCACTCCTGCAAGAAGAAYTGGCATTGGAGGGGTGGGATCTAAAAAGGCCACAGGAGGAGAGAGGATCATCAGCTTGGAGAACACATCCCATGTGGGAAGGAGACGTTYTGGATCTGAGCTGTGAAGCTCCACACAGAACAGGAAAGCCCCTCATGACCCCCAAAASAGCCTGGTTCACTATCAGGACTGAATTCTGCTCTTAAGACAGCACCCACTGCTACAGACATCAAAGATCTGGAGATTTTGAGAGGTCAGCAASAGCCTGTGGCCATTTTTAGGTCAAATCACAGGACATGTTTGGTATGGTGCTGGAGGAATCCCACAAAGATGAATCTGGGGAACTAACTGGCAACTCTGGAAAACTTCAACATCGATTAATTTGCCAACTAAAGAGCAAATGGAGACTTTGCCTTCAAGAACAGTGAGGATGGAAATTGTTTACCATAAAACTGCCACAAAAACCCYCTTATTCCATGGCTATAGAGAGAGAGATTTGCCTGAAGAAACACTCATCCTGCAGGTATCTATTTGCAGGTTGAGCTCCGCTTGGTTTTTAAGAATGCAAACCTGTTTCTGTTTCAGAAACCTCATGGCTAAGGGACATTTCTTCTGTGGCCTCAAAACTAATTTATTTTATTTTATTTAGTTTAACACAGGGTAGGACTCCAAAGGTAATCAAAGATCTTAAGCACAATAATAAAGTTAATATGTAGCTACAACTGGCAGAGGAATTATATTTGTTATATAACTTCATATTTAAAAAATGTGAGTTTTTTCCTACTTTTCTGACAAAAATTAGTATCTCCAGCAATCTCTATCAGAACAGTTGTTTTTCACTTCACATTTTGGTACATCTTGGCCTCACTCTTCACTTAACAACAAATGGCAGCAAAGCCAACACCCCAGCACTCAGAGATGAATAGTTACATTTATGAAAACCTATTCTGGGAGACTTGGCTGCCTTTCAGTGATGTTCATCTCCCGCTTGACAGAGAATAAATCTGGCCAGGTCAGAAATAGTTTATCTGATTTTACTTGGCTCACCAGTTACTTCAAGGAGAAAACRAGATAAACCTGTGTTTACCAACAGTGTTAATTACAGTGTTAACTGGCAATTACAAATGTTGAGTTCTATGATAAYTTTGGAAATGCACAAAAGCCAAACACACAGGTGGACTTAATGTGCCTGACCACAAACACAGCTCCTTCCAAAACTGCTCCAGGACAGAAAGTTTCTCTCTATAGCACAATTCTTCTGCYTTTATTACCAACACCAGTAGCTCAACCAATGTTAAAAATCAAAAGGGCAATTTGTAAACTGCAATTCAGGGTCTGTATGTGGTGGTACTGTTCTACAGGGCAACATTACAACCTGACAAATGGAGACAAAGCCATCTGAGTGCCTTTAAGCCATCCAAATAAAAAGGCAAACTTCCAGAAAACTCCGTGGCTGCCGAATTTGACCTTAATGTTGGTTGCACACCCTGGCTGAGCAAGCAACGCTGGAATTGATGGGTTCCATGCAGGTGAATTCCCACATGGGAATTCACGATGGATTTGGAATTGGAGCAGTGACACAAATGAAGTGTCAGAGCGCTCCTGTCCTGGCCATCCCCAGCAATCATGCGGTGACACAGCAGCAAAGCCCTCTGTCAACACCATCACTTCGCGAAGACACGATGAAGATTAGCGGCGTTCACCAAGCCCTGAGTTTGCTATCGAGCTATCGTGAGTTTACCATCGGGCTCCTATAAATAGAGGTGCCTAAAGCACCCTAACAAAGCTGTCATCTCCAAACTCTTCACCACTCCCGAGCTCGCCGCAGCAGGGCCGGACGCACCGAGAACAAAACAGCCCCAAGTGCAGCGGCCAGCTGGGAACTGCGGCTCGGGTTACAGCGAGCGCTCCAARAGCCTCTCCAACCTGAATAGTCCCTTTTTGTGCCGGAGTTATGCAGAAATCGAGAGTCTGCACGTGCTGCTCTTAGCTGCAGGTAGTAAAACCACCTGTGCTCCGGAGAGGGGGAGGCAGCCGAGGGGCAGAGCAGAACAAAAGCTGCAGTTACTTTTTTTTTTATTTTCTTTTTTTAACACTCGCGCATCAAATTGTGAGTTTGGAGCTGGTGAAGTGACTGTGCAGCTAAATCACCTCAGCATCTGACTCACGGCACTCGGTTGAACAGTTCAGCGGTCATCTCCTACCAAACCAACAGCAGCAATTTGAGCGGAATTTTCCTAAACCACCGGCAGACTGCGGAAAACCGCTTTCCCCGGCTACGTCTGCCTCACCTCACAATAAAAATAAAAAAATAAAAAAATAAAAAAAAAGAGCCAGGCTCGGAGCTTTTTCACTCCGATTTCGCACCGCAAGCGGCCGCGCTGCAGTGCCCTACCTGTGCGCACACAGGTGCCGCCTCCCCCGCCGCTCCCGTTACCCGCTCGCTCCGCTCCGAGCCCCCGCCCGGGCCGCGACCCCGCCGGCCCCCGGAGAGCGCTGCCCGGCCAGCCCGGGAGGGCGCGGACGGGAGAGCCGGAGCCGCTCTCCGCAGGTAACAAAGCCGCCCCGAGCACCCGGCACCGTGCGGGGCAGCGCCGGGGGGAAGCAGCGCCCCGCGGCCGCCAAAACCCGCGGGGGAGCCGGGGCTGCCCCGCTCCTCCCTCCCCGCCGCCGGCCCCCGCCTCAGGCGCGGGCGGGAGCGCGCCACGCCGCCGGGCGGCTGCGGGCAGCGCTGGGCGGCCGTACCTGGCTGCTGCTCTCGGCCGGCAGGTTCCGCAGCAGGATCTTGCGGCGGTTGCCCAACTCCCGGCGGGTGCTCGCCAGCCTCCTGGCCACCTCCTCGGCGCTGAGCGGCGGCGGCTCCGCGGGCAGCGCCGCGCCGCGCTCGGCTCCCGCCGCCATCTTGGCCGCGCGCGGGGAGCGCGGGGGGAGCGCGGCGCTGGGGCCGCCCCCGCCCTGCCCCGCCCGGGGGGAGCCTGAGGGAGCCCCCGGCCCGGCCCCACCGCAGCTCCGGGGCGGGCTCCGTGCTGCCCGGGACAGAGCTCCGGGGGGTGTGCGGGATGAACGGGAACTTCATTGAACGCTGCACGGTGGAAGGGACTAGGGAAGGGATGTCTGGTCCAAGCTCCCTCCTCCAGCAGGGTCACCCCAGAGCACAGGATCGCGTCCAGACAAGTCTGGAACATCCCCAGCCAGGAGACTCCAGCCCCTGTCTGGACARTGTGCAYGGCTCGGTCCCTGCMCWGGGTAGAAGTTGTGCCTCCTGTGCAGGGGGAGCTCCCTGGGCTCGGTSCCTGCCCGTCCCTCRRGTGCCATCGCTGGGTCCTGCTCGGAGCCCTCCCTGCACCCAGGGACASYCAGGGCYGAGGGCCCCTCTGGGCTGGGGCTCCTCTGGAGGTTGAGTATCCCCGGCTCCCTCAGCCTTTCCCGGGCACGGAGCCGCTCCCGGCCCTTCCTCATCTCMGGAGCTCCCTGTCCCTGCTGGGCTGAGGATCCACAGCTGGACACRGCACCCCSGGSYKGG